CCTGATGACCTGCACACGACCTGACCTTGCATACCCTCTTAGCATTCTCGCACGCTATGTTGCTCTGGGAGACACCGACCAGTGCAGCGAAGAGGGTGTTGCGCTACTTGTGCAGTACGTCGGGCATGGGGCTAGTGCTTGGAGGGCGCAGTCCAGTGGTCCTTACTGGGCACGCAGACGCTTCTTGGGCTGACGACCAGGCTACGCAGCGGTCGTCACAGGGTTACACCTTCAGCCTTGGTTCCGGCTCTGTCTCGTGGCGGGCTACTTGCTCGTCTTCTGTTCTCGGCTCCAGTTGTGAGGCTGAGATCTACGCTGGGGCCATGGCTGCACAGGAGCTTTGCTGGCTCACCTACCTGCTGACTGACCTCGGAGAGCCGCCTCGTTCTCCTCTAGTGCTGTACGTAGACAACAAGGCCATGCTGGCCTTGTGTCGAGAGCAGCGACTGGAGCACAGAACAAAGCACATTGCTCTCCGCTACTTTCTTGCTCGTGAGCTATAGCAGCGTGGACAGTTGAGGCTTGCGTACGTGGCCTCTGAGGCCAACACTGCTGATGTTTTCACCAAGGCACTTTCGCCTTGTGATCATCAGCGCTTCTGCACTCAGTTGGGTCTTGTCCCTGTCTTGCCTCACTTGCTCACCTCTTGACCTTGCTTGTACTGTTACATATATATATACGTGCTCTTGCTTGTCTAGCCTTATATATATATGTACTCCTGCATGTGAACTGGCCTTGTGGCCTTGTACTTGTGCTCGGAATGTGTGGTGACTTTGTGATCCACCCTGAGCTTTGCTTTGTTTTGCTTTGCTTGACTGGTCTTGTGACCCCCTGTTCTCCCCCACTTTGCCTATGGGGGTGTGTCAGAACATTATAGCTTATGCTTTTGTGTAGGCTGTAGTGGGGTATCCCATAGAGGGTACAACCCAATTAGGGTTAGTACTTGTACCCACTTCATTCATAGTTCATTCATTCTCGTTTCAGTTTTCTCAGTAACGTCGTTGTTGTTGTTTCTGATGTTTGACTGCGGAGGTGCCGCTTGCTGGTGTTGTTCGTAGAAGGACATGAAGGAGAAAAACTTCTCCATCATGCTTGGGTCGAAGCCTGTGGCTTGATCTGTGGGAGTTTCAGTAGACCCAGCTGCTGGTCTATTTGTCGTGCCCTCTTCTGTCTGTAGGCCAGAGGCAGGAGGTGGAGTAGGAGTAGTACCGGGAGAGCCGTTAGAGGAGCTTCTCTCCTTCGGTGTTGCCATGCCTTCTGATGTTGTAGGTGTCTTGGAAATAGTTGAGTTTGCCCTGATAGCTCTCATACCATGTTGGGCTGAGAAAAAGCCCTAAGGATCTCTGCAGGGCTAAACTTTGGGTAGTAATGTTGTAGTTGCGGAAGCGTTTAATGAGAAGTATTGAATCACCTTGCACTGGTATGTAAGGGCAAAGTAGATTGATTAAAACAAGGAAATACAAGGTTTTATAAGAGTACAAGGAATACGAAGAGATACAGCTAATAACCGTTTTATTGTTGCTGTTGCGGTTCGATACAGTGACGACTCGGGAAACTGCTCTGTATCGAGTCAGTTGTTTGTCCTTGTTGTCGCACTGTATTTGTCAAGTCAAAGGTCGCTGAACTTTGACCTTCGCGTAACCTTCAGCGGCTACTTCGCTTGTCAACCTCCGATAGTTGACTCGCTGATGCTTCTTTTTGCTTCGCTTCGTTTACGACTTAATGTTTCGACACAGCAGAAGCGCTTAAAGCTGGCGGCCCAAATTGTTCATGCTTTTAAAAGTTGACCAGAGGGAGTTTTTCTGGTGTAGGCTTTGGGGAGAGTTCGCAATTTCGTCTAGGTTCGTTTTTTTCGCGAGACCCAGCCAACCCTCGGTTTTCCCCCTGGTGAGTGATCTGTCTTCAAAAGTTCCAAATTGCAGGTGCGTGACTTTCAAAAGCTCTCCCCATGGCTGGGGAAGCATGGTCCCAACGACAATCGGGACGTCTGCATCGAGGGCGCTGACTCAGATGGGCAGGCGACCACCTTCACGTTCACGCTGCACGAGGAGAAGCTGGTCGACTATCTAGGACCCGGGCACCATGACGCGTGCCTTGACATCTGCACCGAGTTCGCGGAGTGCATTATGGCCAACGTGGAGGATCGGTTGGGGGACCTTGACAAGCTGTCGGGCGTCAGCTTGTTCACTCCCGACAGCTGGCCTTATGGCAGGCATGAGCGCCATGCCAAGTATCAGGAGTTTCTGGAGTCGTTGATCACTCTCTTTCGGGCGGAGGAGAGCGATGAAATCTTGCCTGGTAAGCTCGTTGATGTATGTAGAAATCTCGATCGTATATTCATTGTATCTTTTCAAGATCCTTCACCTTTTTCCTTCAACGCTTTCTTTCTATCTCTGCTTCTCTTCGTTGCCTTATGAGTGACTGCAGGCATCGAGAAGAAAAAAGCAGTCAAGGAGCTGCGGTTGCTTGTTCCCGTACTTGCAGCCGCATCGAAGAGTGAGCGCGGCTTCCACACTGGGCTCACAGCCATCCTCAAGACCATCGACTGGCAGGATCATTACCCTAACCTTGTGCGGCTGTGGGTGGCGGTGGCGGTTTTGCCGGTGAGCACTGTTGAGTGTGAGCGCGGTTTCTCGCGCCAGAACATCATCAAGTCTTGGCAGCGAGGCAGCCTCAAGGATGCCCATCTGAGCGACCTGATGTGCATGTCATTGCTAAAGTACGATCCCAATTGGGATGAAATCGTGGAGATCTAACGCAACTACAAGAAGCGTAAGCCATTCAACGCCTGCACCATAGCCAGGCAGGATGAGAGGAGGCGGAGGGGAAAGGAAGATGTAGATGCTGGGGATGAGGAAGTTTAGGAACAAGATAGTGAAAATGAGGAGGATTATATGTGATACGGTAGTAGGATAGGTAGGAGGTAGGTAGGTAGGTAAATATATATTTAATTTCTATGTAGCTTCTTTAAACATTTTATTAGTCAATCACAATCAGTCTACATTTTTGTACCGACACTGACTGGAAAGTTTTTGTTAAAGTACGAGCAGAAAGTTTAGAACAAGAAAAGAGGGGTTGCACTAGCAAGCAGTTGAGTACATATAGGAAACCCTAGATTAGGTTGTACTCACTGTAGAGTACCCCACTGCAGGCTAGAAAATAACATCATTCTAACACACCCCCATAGCCAAAGTGGGGTGTAATCAACACAACAAGCAGTCATAAAATAGTTCACAAGCCCAAGTAAAGCTAGAGGTAGTCACAGAGGGCATGTGATGAGGAGGAGGGACTGTGAGAGGAGAGGAGATGGGAGGCGACTGCGGAAGGTGCAGACACACAGGAACTGCTGGCTCAGTGGCTACCGAAGCAATGGCCCGGACTACAGGAGTAACTGGCTCCGCGGAGATTGTAGCCTCCTAACTGGAGGAACTGACCCACAGGTGACTGGCGACTACCGGAGATTGTAGCCTCCGGACTACTGGTGCTGCTGGCGACACGACTGCGACCTCCGCTCAAACTCCGCCAACTGCCCCACGCCCCTTGCACACACCCCCTGCTGCACCCCTAGCTCCACTCCCACGTCACCCCCCTAGCACCACTCCTTCGGCTCCCACACACCCACCCCCCCGAGCGGCAGCTGCAGCAGCGGGAGACGGAGGAGGAGGAGTAGGGGACGGCGCACACAACCGGCACCCCCATAACCGTCACCCCCACACTCCCCACCCCCAAACCCTAAAACGGGTGGCACGGGGTAGGAGCGCGGGGGACGGCGAGGGGGACGGCGCGCGGCCCCCAGGGCGCCACCACGGGGCAGCGAGGGGCTGCGCGCGGCTCCCTTGGGCGCCGCGACGAGGAAGCGGGGGGGTCGCGCACGGCTCCAGGGGTGTCGCGCAGGTCCCCGGGGGCGACGCGAGGGTCGACGGGGTGGCGCGCGGGTCCCTTGAGGCGACGCGAGGGTCGACGAGGTGGGCGCGCAGGTCCAGCGGGGCCGGCGCGCCAGGAAGAAAAGGGGCCGCGCGCCTCGGGGCGCGCGCCAGAGAGACATCGCACACCACGGGGCGTGCAATAGATCGAGTAGCAGCGGAAGCAGGTTGGTGGGCCCACAGGCCAAGGAAGGACAGGCTCTGATAGCATGTTAAAGTACGAGCAGAAAGTTTAGAACAAGAAAAGAGGGGTTGCACTAGCAAGCAGTTGAGTACATATAGGAAACCCTAGATTGGGTTGTACTTGCTATAGAGTACCCCACTGCAGGCTAGAAAATTACATCATTCTGACAGTTTTTTTTTCGAACTACAACACTGATTCTTCAGGGGGGGTTTTTTTTTGTCAACACTGATAGAAAGTGTTTTTCCAGGCCCCAACACTGACAAAAAAGCGTGGCTCAAAACGAATCTGAGGGCCTGTTGGACACTCAACTTCGTCAAGTTTTAAAAACTTGACCCTCGCGGTCCGCAATTTGGGACGCGGGCTTTAAATCACTTGTTTCCAACAATGTGTACACTGTATGTTATTAGGATATGTTGCTTTAATTTTTGCTAGGACAGGATCTCTACTGTCATCAATACAAATTGTATGGTATTGTACAAAGTTTTTGTTTCATGTGGTTGGAATGGAATGGTCATCAAATGAACTCAAATGGCTCTCTGATACGGTACAATGTCTGCTGGTTAAAGCCCGGGGTCAGCATGGTAATTCTTCAAGTTATGTGGTTTTGAAATAGTGTTAGCGAAACCTTGAAAACAAGAATTTCGGCATAGTCAGTGTAGCGAAAAAGGGATTCACTGACGAGGGGAAAAGGGGCCTCGCCAAACGTGAAGCGATGGTAAACGATACTGTGCAGCTTTGATAAATTTGCAGAACAGCGTCGGGCGACAGGAAGGAGTGTCGCACGGATCGCACGGGAAGCTCCAACAACCTCAGAACGAGTGAGGAGAAAAAACACCACGATCAATCTACTACTTCAACCAAGCTAACTACTTCAATCAAACTAACTACTCCACCTACTCAGGTATGAGGGGGGGAGGAGGGTGGGTATGAGGGGGGGAGGAGGGCAGGTATGAGGGGGGGAGGAGGGTGGGTATGAGGGGGGGAGGAGGGTGGGTATGAGGGGGGGAGGAGGGTGGGTATGAGGGGGGGAGGAGGGTGGGTATGAGGGGAGGAGGAGGGTGGGTATGAGGGGGGGAGGAGGGCAGGTATGAGGGGGGGAGGAGGGTGGGTATGAGGGGGGGAGGAGGGTGGGTATGAGGGGGGGAGGAGGGTGGGTATGAGGGGGGGAGGAGGGTGGGTATGAGGGGGGGAAGGAGGGCAGGTATGAGGGGGGGAGGAGGGTGGGTATGAGAGGGGGAGGAGGGGGGGAGGAGGGTGGGTATGAGGGGGGGAGGAGGGCAGGTATGAGGGGGGGAGGAGGGTGGGTATGAGGGGGGGAGGAGGGCAGGTATGAGGGGGGGAGGAGGGTGGGTATGAGGGGGGGAGGAGGGCAGGTATGAGGGGGGGAGGAGGGTGGGTATGAGGGGGGGAGGAGGGCAGGTATGAGGGGGGAGGAGGGCAGGTATGAGGGGGGGAGGAGGGCAGGTATGAGGGGGGGAGGAGGGTGGGTATGAGGGGGGGAGGAGGGTGGGTATGAGGGGGGGAGGAGGGTGGGTATGAGGGGGGGAGGAGGGTGGGTATAAGGGGGGGAGGAGGGTGGGTATGAGGGGGGGAGGAGGGTGGATATGAGGGGGGGAGGAGGGTGGGTATGAGGGGGGGAGGAGGGTGGGTATGAGGGGGGGAGGAGGGTGGGTATGAGGGGGGGAGGAGGGTGGGTATGAGGAGGAACACGAGGGCGTGTGGTGTTGGGGGAAGGCAGGTGGTGCGGGGGGAGGAAGGTCGGTGCTGTGTGTGGGGGAAGGCAGGTGGTGCGGGGGGAGGAAGGTCGGTGCTGTGTGTGGGGGAAGGCAGGTGGTGCGGGGGGAGGAAGGTCGGTGCTGTGTGTGGGGGAAGGCAGGTGGTGCGGGGGGAGGAAGGTCGGTGCTGTGTGTGGGGGAAGGAAGGTGGTGCGGGGGGAGGAAGGTCGGTGCTGTGTGTGGGGGAAGGCAGGTGGTGCGGGGGGAGGAAGGTCGGTGCTGTGTGTGGGGGAAGGCAGGTGGTTCGGGGGGAGGAAGGTCGGTGCTGTGTGTGGGGGAAGGCAGGTGGTGTGGGGAGAGGAAGGTGGGTGGTGTATGTAGGGGGGAAGGCGTGTGGTGCGTGGTGGGAAAGCCGGGTGTCGGGGGGAAACGAGAGCGACGGCAACGCGGGGAATCGCGGCGGCGGGAGTCGCGGGCGGCGTGGGCAATCGCGAGCGGCGTGGGGAATCGCGGGCGGCGTGGGGAATCGCGGGCGGCGTGGGGAATCGCGGGCGGCGTGGGGAATCGCGGGCGGCGTGGAGAATTGCGGGCGACGAACGGAAGCGAGGGAGAGAAGGGGGATAATGGAATTACGGGCAAAGCGAGGAATTACGGGCGAGTAAAATATATATGTAAAAAAAAAAAAAAAAAAAAAAAAAAACTCCGAGATTGATGCGAAACATAACGCTTTTTAAAGGGGGGTTACGGCCAGGGGAGACGAGGGTGACGGGAAAGGCAAAGTATGGACCTAGCATGGCCCAAAGGAAGGAGACACGAGGGTGATGGAGAGGGACGACGGGCAACGAACGTGACGACAAGAGAGGAAGCGAGGGCGACAGGTAAGGAGGGACGAGTGATCAGTGATGGTAGGGATCAAACGACGGGAGGGAATGTAAGCGGGATCGCCAGTTGCGACTCGGGAATGCCATTTACGAGCATTGCGCGTGCCGTGCGCTAGAACGGATCCGTGTCTGGCATGCGAAAATGGTACGGTAATAGCGTGTTTGGCATGAATTTGTGCGTGGTCGGACAGCGGGAGTGACTAGTGTTGGGCAGAGAAAAACGATTCTACCTGAGCTAGCTTTTATCGTCCAGCCGCGCTTTTACTAGTTACGTGAGTATTGTAGTAGACTAGGGAGTACTACTTGGCCTTCAAGATATGTGAGAGGAGATCGAGGCAACCTTGTGGGCGATGGGCTGATCTGTTGTGCGACAGGTCACAGAAACCAATCAGGAGTGATTGTCGCAGGAGCTTGTCCCTGGGTAGCGAGTATTTTTTCAAACTAAAACGGGTTACCCTGTTTTGTGCGACTTCAAGTTCAAGAATCTTGAACTTGAAGAATACCATGCTGTACTCGGGCTCTAATCAGTCACGGCGTGTAGCGAATATCTGCCACTATCGTAAATACATTATTTGTGAGAATGAACCTTTCAAGTAGGTAGTTGTTAACTCAAGATAGCAGTAGGTAGTTGTTAACTCAAGATAGCAAGCTGATGACTGAAGAATCAATGAGCACATAATTTCTCTTCAGCACACAAGGTCTTCAGCTGGTGCTGGCAGCAGAAGAGGGTGAAGCATTGGGTGGCAGTTGAAGTGTGCAGCTCAGTACACTGTAGCGCACTTGCTGGGCCAGCAAGCATGCATTTGCTGTTGTGGCAGCACCAGCTGCTGCAGCAAGAGCATCAGGCTGAGCAACTCATGTTACCGTACGTGGGACATCTATCCCCATGGCTCCATACAGGAACATGGGTACATACAGATTAATGTGACAAAAGTCTCAAACGGCATGAATGGGATATGAGTGATGGGAGGGGAAGAAGACTCGATTAGATACACGTGACTAAAAGATTGAGCTTGTGCTAAAGCGGTATGGGATGGGAGGGAATGGAATAGCAAAACAAAGCATAAAGATCAGATCGTAGTGGAAGGAAATCAAGCAATTTCCAGCTTGGAACTTGGGATGGGAACGATTTTGGATGGGACGGGATGAGGGGATAACATGCAATGAAAAACATGGGAAAAGGTGGAAAGGGGAAAGAATATAGAGTGCTGAATAGACTGAAGTGGGTGAGTTAGATATGACACCGCCCATGGGAGCATCAGTCTGAGAGGCCATTGACACTAAAGGTGTGATCGGGATGTGACTGGTGTGATCGGTTAGCGAAGGGAAGGGACTGGTGTGATCAGGATGGGATGGGATGGGATGGGATGGGGTGGGATTAGACTGGTGTACTCGGGATGGGATGGGATGGGATGGGATGGGATGGGATGGGATGAGATGGGATGGGATGGGATGGGATGGGATGGGATTGGATGGGATGGGATGGGATGGGATGGGATGGGATGGGATGGGATAATATGTGGTGGCATCGGATGGTGTTTGTGAGTGAGATGGCATGAAAGGGGCTGGGTGTTGGCTCCCTTTGAGTCTCCTCCTATCCATGCTGCTCCCACTCCTGCCCATCCATCAGATGCTGCTGTTGGTGCTGGTGGTGCCGGTGCCGGTGCCACTGCTGCTGATGCTGCTGCTGCTTCAGGCGGCAATGGGTGCAAGGTGGATGCCGCCGGGCGGATTGGAGGAGAAGGGAGCACGGGGCATGCTTAAAGAAAGGGCACATGAAGCCCTGTGGTGGGGAGCGTGGTGAGTGAAGAAATAGGGTTGGTGGAAGTTGAACATATTATCTTACTAGGCAAACCCAAAAGCACATATATATTCTCAGAAAACGAGAGGCACTTGACACGTTTTACAAAGTAGACAAGTACCGAAGGCAGTGAAGAATGAGAGGGATGCACTGAAGAGGGGCCCTAGAGGGAGAGTGACAACAGGAGGCCAAGTCCCAAACAATTATGCAGACAACCAGAAGTAATACGGGCGGCAGTGGGAACACATGGCTGGGCAGGGATGGAATGAGAGAACGGTAATGATAAGAACAGAGGGCCCAGCACATCGTGTGGTTACAGGGCGTCAAGAGCGCTTACAGGGCATTGGACGTGGTTACAGGGCGTGAAGAGAGGTTTAGCGGGTACTGAGACTGCAGAGGCAGGCTGGGCTCCACCGAGAAAGCAAACTTATCTTCACCCACACGCACGCCCCCCTTCCCCCACGCGCATTCCCCTTTCCACCAGCGCCACCAGACCGACCACCCTGGCTCGGATGCTGGCTGGCTCGGAAGGCAGGGAGGGAAGAAGGTGAGAAAGGGGGGAATGGGTGAGAGCTGGGATGGGAGGGAGGAGGGAGGGGGGAGGGCAGGAAAGGAAGCAGAAGGTCGGGGTTCAAAGCATCGGCAGAATAATTACCAACATCAGAAACAGCATCTTATTCACTGGGGTTGCCTCTCCCTCTGCTCACTCCCCTCTCCTCACTGCACACCTCCCCCACTCGCTCTGCGCCCTCCGCCCCACACGTACCCACTGACACATCCACCTCACTTGGTTACACGGTTTGCTGTGGCTCAATCGGATCTGTGTACAGCCCATGTGGCATGGGCTGCTCCAATCGCATTCTGACATGTGTCCTCCCAGACGCCCTACTGCTTCAGCAGCAGCAGTGCAGCCACCTTCCCCACTACCTTCCATTCTCCCTTCCCCACTACCTTCCATTCTCCCTTCCCCACTACCTTCCATTCTCCCTTCCCCACTACCTTCCATTCTCCCTTCCCCACTACCTTCCATTCTCCCTTCCCCACTACCTTCCATTCTCCCTTCCCCACTACCTTCCATTCTCCCTTCCCCACTACCTTCCATTCTCCCTTCCCCACTACCTTCCATTCTCCTCCCCACTACCTTCCATTCTCCCTTCCCCACTACCTTCCATTCTCCCTTCCCCACTACCTTCCATTCTCCCTTCCCCACTACCTTCCATTCTCCCTTCCCCACTACCTTCCATTCTCCCTTCCCCACTACCTTCCATTCTCCCTTCCCCACTACCTTCCATTCTCCCTTCCCCACTACCTTCCATTCTCCCTTCCCCACTACCTTCCATTCTCCCTTCCCCACTACCTTCCATTCTCCCTTCCCCACTTGCATCCATCCTCCCCAAACGCGTACCATACGCGGCTGTGGCTGGGATGAAAGCCTCATGGCACTACTGCGTACCATGTGCGTTTCTGCTTCCATACTCACCCGCCTACCGTTGCCTGACTCCGTTGTCAACCTCACTCCCTTTACTCTCGCCCCAACCCCCGACCCCCCCTCCAGGGCACTCAAAACATCCTCATTACTCCACCCCCTTGAGAAAGTTCCCATAAGGTTCCACGTGGCGTCGGTTCCACACCACTCGCTGGCACTCCACGCATCCGCGTCCTCCGCTTTTCGCATACCACGTGAACGTCCGAGTCAGCGCGGATTCACCGCCAGATCGGCGTGCGACAGGCACATCGGGCTATGAGAGCTGCAGCAGAGTTGCTACAGCCGGCGGCTCTCCCGCTCCTGCCATCCCCTCCGACTTTTCCGCCGAATTCAACGTCTCTTTCCACCCTTTCCGCGACCCCTGCTGCCAAGCTCTTCCCCGTTCCCCGTTCTCCCTCGCCGTTTCGACCCTTTCCGCTTCTTCCGTTCTGTCCGCTCGTTCTGCGTCGGCACTCCTGCCTCAGCGCTAGTAGACACCTCGTCGGTTGCTCGCCTCGTCGCTTGGGGGCGACCTGATGGGGTGAGGGGTCCTCAGGCTCGTAATCGTTGCGTGCTTATGATCACTTGTGTGCTCGTAATCTCTTGCAGTTCAACGAAGACTGGCTACTTGGAGCTCCGCTGAATATAGAGGGGCTTTCCAAACCGGGCCAAGATTCCCCGTGATTGCGCGGATTGCGAAGAATACCTACCGCTTAGTACCGACCGCACAGATCTCCCGCCGTGAACAAATCAAAATTTGGAATTTGTATATATCTGAATACATATTGATTTTCCAACCACAGCAGAAACAGATTGCCTATAGAGGGCGCAACACCATTCCCCCTCGATTCTCTGCAATTTGGCTGTATTCCCACGATGGGCTGCCCAACCACCACGTAGTAGGCGCACCACTCAAACCGCACTGCCGCATCGCAATTGTCCCAAGAATTACGGAAACCAAGATCATCGGTATTACACTTTTGCCACCCAGGCCTCTAGAACAGCCGCGGTGGCGCGCCAAGTCTGCTGGCTTTGTCGGCCAACCCTTCCGCCAATCCCTTCTCAGCAGCGACCTGCCAGGTGTGCCTGACGAGTCGCCAATGTACCTTGCGGACTGCAGAGCGCCACAACGAGGGGCAAACGTCGCGAGAATTCAGGCGATTCCGCGACCCTCGGGGAAGCCGGCCCGGCACGGCATGGCGCAAGGCGAGGCGCGACACCTCGGACGAACCGCCTGTGAGGCGCTTGCCCCGGAATCCTCGCTCGCCAGGCGCAGCGGGGCTCTCTCGGCGTGGCGTGGAGAAACGACCCGTCGAGTGCTGCACCAGCGACACGCCGCTTCTAGGTGGAGGACCAACAGAGATGCTGCTGCTTTTAGGTGACGCGCGCGCCGCTCGCCTCTCGGCTCGACTGACTTGCGGACCAGCCACGTTACTCACTGCCTCCCTCCCTCACGCCAGCCACACGCCGTGATTCCCGCAAACAAAGAGAGGGCAGTACTAGTTTACAACCACTTAGCGCTGGTAGCCATCACTGGGAGACGCCGTGACTCGGCAGCACAAGTATAGCAGCGCAGCTCCCTCCCACGAGCGCACTCACGCCGCGACTGTTCATCGCACGCCCGCCTGCACGACGCCAGTGTGGCTCGCCCTCGCGCTCCCCCCGCCCCCGCCAGCGTCCACCCAACCCCCCTCGACCCGGCCTCGCCCCGCCTGCCATGGCCGCCCGCGGTCGCCCAGCGACGGCCCTGGTCGCGGCAGCCGAGAGGGCAGCAGGAGAGCAAGCCGCAGAGGTGCAGGACGGTGCTTGTGACGGGGTGACAGTGCAGGTCGGCAGTGGTACTGCAGGCGGGGCAGCAGCGGAGGGGACGTTGTTTAGAGCGTTGGAGGCGGAGGAGGTGCGGAGGCAGGGCCATCGCATGGTGGAGTTCATCGCAGACTACCTGCAGGGCGTGGGTGCTCGCCCCGTGCGCTGCTCCGTGCAGGTACGATGCGTGTGCGTGTGCCGTGCTGTGCCGTGGTTGGCAGCACCATGGCAGAAGCATGGGAGTGTGAAAGAGCAAGGGACAGGGAGTGTGAGAGAGCAAGGGACAGGGAGTGTGAGAGAGCAAGGGACAGGGAGTGTGAGAGAGCAAGGGACAGGGAGTGTGAGAGAGCAAGGGACAGGGAGTGTGAGAGAGCAAGGGACAGGGAGTGTGAGAGAGCAAGGGACAGGGAGTTGTGGAGTTGATGGGGTGCTGCTTGGAAGCACGAGTGCTGCGGCAGCATCCAGCTGGGCTGGTCGCATGCTGAAACCAGCTCGTGTCACCACACCACACACACTCACCCCCCCCACCATCACAACCCCACTGCACCACTCTTGATTTTTCTGCACCCGTTAACCCACACTGCCCGTCCCCTGCATGCGCTGCTCCCACTGCTCGCCCCGGCACCCTGGCAGCCCGGCTATCTGCGGCCTCTGCTGCCCGCCCACGCCCCTCAGCATGCCGAACGTCTTGAAGCCATTCTCTCAGGTCACGTATCCTGCCATCTCGCCCCCACTCCTGCTCTCCTCCCGCCCTTTCACCCACTGCCATCACAGTCACTTGTTTCTCCCTTGAAGCGCTCCTTTCCCCCCACCCCTCCTCTCCCCACACCCCTCCTCTCCCTCCTTCCACCGTTCTGCACCGCACAGACATATCGAGTGCCATCCTGCCAGGCGTGACGCACTGGCAGAGCCCCTCCTTCTTCGCCTTCTTCTCCTCGCCCACCAGCGCCGCCGCCATCTGTGGCGACGCCCTCATCAGCGCCCTCAACGTGGTGGGCTTCTCCTGGGCCGCTGCTCCCACTGCCACGGAGTTGGAGGGGATCGTTATGGACTGGATGGCTGACCTGCTGGGGCTTCCAGAGGGGTTCCACTCGGTGAAATCAGGTGAAGAGGGGTGGGGGAGTGGGGGGTGTTCATCTGTGGCGACGCCCTCATCAGCGCCCTCAACGTGGTGGGCTTCTCCTGGGCTGCTGCTCCCGCTGCCACGGAGCTCGAGCCATTGTCACCGACTGGCTGGTGGTGCTGGGGCTGCCCCATGGGTTTCACTTGGTGAAGTCAGGTGGGGGGGAGTTGGGTGGGGTGAGGTGCGGGTGGTGAGTCAAGCGGTGGTGAGCGGAGGTGGGGTGATGCGAGGGGCAGGGAAGGGAGGGGGAGTGATGTGGGGACGAATGGGCTGAGGGAGAGTGGCGCAGTGTGGCAGGCCCTTTGCTCTTTCGCTTCAGCAGCTCAGACTAATGAGCATCAGCATTCCCTGCGCACTTTAATCCTGCCCTACCTTACCCCACCAACATGTCGCGCGTGTCTCTGTCACTGTGGTGGCATGGCAGGTGGGCGGGGCGGGGGGGTGATTCACGGCACGGCCAGTGAGGCGCTGCTGGTGGTGCTGCTGGCTGCCTGGCGGAGAGTGCTGGACCGTGTGGTGGGGTAGCCCGGCAGTGCTGCAGCGCCCGGCAGAGTGGGCAGTGAGGACCTGCCTGCTGCACCTGCAGCACCTGCAGCACCTGCTGCACCTGCTGCACCTGCTGCACCTGCAGCACCTGCTGCACCTGCAGCACCTGCTGCACCTGCAGCACCTGCTGCACCTGCAGCACCTGCAGCACCTGCTGCACCTGCAGCACCTGCTGCACCTGCAGCACCTGCTGCACCTGCAGCACCTGCTGCTGCTGGTGCTACTGCTGGTGGTGGCAACGTGGGTGTGCGGGGCGAGGCTACTGACATGTTCCCGTGGGCGAGTGCGGAGGGCATGGCAGCACAGCGCCTGGTGGCAAGTGTCGGACCACACGCATGCATGTGTGCTCAAGGCATGCCGTGTGGCAGGCATGCCCGAGGGCAATGTGCGAGTGCTGCCCACCACGGCTGCATCAGCATACGCTCTCACTGCCCGCCAGCTGTTGGATGCGGTGCAGAGCGATGAGGCTGCTGGCCTCCTTCCCTTCTTCCTCATCCTCACTGTAAGTTCGAGGTACCTTGCTGTTCCCTTCTTTCTCACTCTCTGGAAGTGGAAGCTACCTCGTTCCTTCCAAGCACATGTCATAGTGAGCCACCTCACGCACGAGACGGTGCGTGTCTGCCTGTTTGCCCGGCTGTCACCTCCAGCTGCAAGTTTTCCCACGTTGCATGCCGCCGGTGCGTGGCGCCTCATCTGCCTCATCCGCCTCGCCATCGCCCGGACTGACCCTGGAGTCCTGGCGTGCCTCTCACCAGCAAGCACTGCCATGCGCTCATTCCTTTCCACATGCCTGCTCTGCTCCTCTGCCACGTCATGCCAGGTTGGCTCCACATCATCCACTACTGTCGATCCAATCGCCCCTCTGGCTGCCATCGCGAAGGTGAGCTTGAAATGCCTCTTGCCATGCTGTGCCATGCCATGCCATCCCATGCCATGCCATCCTATGCCATGCCATGCCATGCCATGCCATCCTATGCCATGCCATGCCGTGCCGTGCCATGCCGTCCTATGCCATGCCATGCCGTGCCATGTCATCCCATCCCATCCATGCCACGCCATCCCATGCCATGCCACGCCACACCATACCACAAGTGGGTGGAAGTCCGCCTTGGTGCATACCTTATACCACCCCACCCCTTTCTCTCTCGTCCCCCCGCCTCCAATCACGGGCACAGGAGCATGGCATGTGGGTGCATGTGGATGCGGCGTATGCAGGCATGGCGTGCATGTGCACTGAGATGCGCCACCACTTGGCAGGCGTGCACCTCGCCGACTCACTAGCCTCCAACGCCCACAAGTGGCTGCTCACCAGATTCGGCTGCTGCTGCCTCTGGACCCAGGTTAGTGCTGCCTCTGGACCCAGGTTAGTGTAGGTAGTGCCGGCGGGAGGAGAGGTTATGCTGTAAGGCAGGCTGCAGGCAGGTGGTGTGACATTGCAACGGTGCTGCTTGGGAAGAGTGCACTTCCCCTTTGTGGGTGAAGCGAATCCTCTCTGTGCTTGCTACATGCATGAACACTCACACCACACCAAGTCTCATCACTCCGCACCACAACGCACCGCATCGTACGCACCGCACTGCGCCGCAAACGGCATTTCACCTCTCGATGCCCGTGCTCATGGCCATGCCAAACCAATGCGCCCACCAGGACAGCACGTCGCTGGTGGAGCAACTGTCTATACTGCCCGAGTATCTTACAAATAAGGTGGGCTAGTATCTTCTTTTTGCGTGTGACGTCGCGTGTGTGCTCTTGTGACCGCTTGTGTGTGCTCTTGTGAGCTCTAACCACAATGTGCACGTATCTCGGTATTCCTTTATCGGACTGCGGTACTTTTGCAGTAAGCCTTTGTAAGAGTGTGATATCATCGTAGCAAACTCTTATCGCAGATTACTCATGTTCATCCACACATGCTCTCCCTTCCCTCCTGTTTTCGGTCCCCCCTGTTCCTCACACGGCAGGCATCAGAGCGACAGCAGGTGGTGGACTGGGAGATCCCCATCGGCCGCCGCTTCAGGTGCGTTAACCACACTATCTCTTGCTGCCCCCCAATGCAGGGCGTCTGTATATACAGTACAAGGTCCATATTGGTTCCATCTCAACAGTTCCCGTTTGGTTTTTTTTTTCTATGCATACCCCCTGTCCGTTCAATCTGCTCACCGCCATGGCCATGTCATGTCATGGGCATCCCCCGGGCAGGTCATTGAAGCTGTGGATGGTGCTGCGCATGTATGGTGCAGAGGGCATCCGCGCGTACATCAGGCGCCACGTGGCGCTTGCTGAGTGGTTTGAGGAGGCTGTGCGGCAAGATGAGCGGTTCCAGGTGAGCTGGCATGCAGCATGCCATCACTCCCTGCATGCGCCACCTGTGCTACTACCCTCTCACTCGCACACTCTCTCACACACCCTCTCACACACCATCCACAAGCCCTCTCACACACCCTCCACACACCCTCACACCTGTCCCTCTAACCTTTTCACTGCAATGATGTCAGCATGCTACCCACGTGCTGCCTCTCCCCCTCCCCGTTGCTCCCCAGCTGATGGCGCCACGCCCCTTCGCCCTTGTCTGCTTCCGCCTCAAGCCGCCCGCCCCTTCCGCCTTCACACACAGTGGGATGGCGTGTGGAGGTGCGGGCGAGGGGGGGTTGGACAAGGGGGTGGAGGGCGCGGACGGAGGGAGGGAGGTGAACGCGGCGCTACTGGAGGCGATCAACAGCAGCGGGCAGGCGTACCTCACACACACTGTCAGTCCTCTCAGCACGCTGCTGCATGCCTTCTCATTCCTGTCTCACAAACATACTGAATCTTGAGGCGCTTCAAGAATACCTCATGCATGCTGTGAGTCCCGCATCATGCTGCTGCCTGCCTTGTTCATTCGTTTGCACCTCAGACCCTGCGGGCACTTGACCCTAGACGTGCCTCTGTCTGACCCCATGACCCCGAGCAGGTGCTATCAGGGCAGTACACGCTGCGCATGGCAATAGGGGCGGTCAAGACGGAGATGACGCACGTGCAGGCGGCGTGGAGGCTCATCCAAACAGAAGCTTCCAAGTTGCTGCAAGAATGCAAGTTTCCAACTTCAAGAGGGCAAGAAGAAATTGCTTCAGAAAGATGAATGATTCGCCTCTGTGAAAAAGCAGAATGCTGTGTAGAGTTACTAAACAGAGACCACTGTGGAAATATGTTGCCAGCCATCCAGGACAGTTGCTTGACATTTCAAAGCAATGCTCCCGGCTACCATACGACTCACTGAAGACTTGCCTGTTGGGCTGAAAAACCCCTTAGGATCTTTGCAGGGGTGAACTCTGGGTAGAGTTGGTGTAGTAGCGGAAGCGTTAATTAAAGGGTTGTGAACCACCTTGCACTAGTATGTGAGGGCAAAGTGAGTTGATTAAAACAGGTGGATACAGGTTTATATATGAGTACAAGGAATACGAAGAGATGCAGTTATAACTGTATTGCTGTTGTGGTTTGATACAGTGACGACTCGGGCAACTGCTCTGTAGCGAGTCAGTTGTGTGTCCTTGCTGTCGCGCTATATTTGTCAGGTCAAAGGTCGCTGACCTTCGCGTAACCTCCAACAGTTACTTTCAACCTCCGAGGGTTGACTCGCCGATGATTCGTTATACTTCGTTTCTTTTGTGTCTTAGTGTTTCGACACGACAGAGGCGCTTAGGACCGATTGTTTCCAACACCCCCCTTCGCTTCTGGAGTGTCGCTGACGTGGCTCTGTCCAGTCAGCAGCATGCAGTATTCGAACTTCTGCTTTCCGAGCTTCTTGGTCAGGTAGTCAGCTGCCATCTCGGACGTGGGACAGTATGACAGCTCGAGCCTTCCTTTCTCGATCTCGTCCTTCACGAAGAAATATCGCAGGGCGATGTGTTTCGTCCTGTTCGCGAAGCCGTTCTTGTTGGCGATGCGAATTGCCGATTGGTTGTCGCAGAACAGGGTAAAGTTGGGTAACTCGGCAAACTTCGCTTCTTCCAGCAGCTCGCGAAGATAGAGTCCTTCCTTGGTGGCTGAGCAGAGTGCAATATATTCTGCTTCAGCTGACGAGAGAGCAATAGGTCCGATAGGTTCGAGGCGGTAGATGTAGCCGGTGCGGGAGCGCCTATTGTCAGAGTCGCCAGCGTGATCAGCGTCGACGTAGCCGATTAACTTAGTCAGTGTGGTTGCGTTCTTGTAGTAAGTTAGGCCGATTGTTGGGGTGCTGACGAAGTAGTGAAGAGCGCGGTCGAGCTCCGCCGGATGTTCTACTTCAGGCTTCTTGAGGTAGGTGGCGAGCTGGCTTGCGGAGTATGAGAGGTCGGGGCGAAAGGTGACGGCTGCGAAGAGAAGACATCCCAGCTTCTTCTGGTAGTCTCGTATGCCGGCGGGCTTAAGTAGAGCGGAGCTTCCTTTGTCGTTCCCTGCCGTGTATCGGTATGGCGTGGAGATGGCTGTCGGTGTGAGCGTAAAGCGTTTGGCGATAGTGTCAGCATATTTCTCGGCGCTGAGGTAGATCGCGTCCTCCTCTTACCGGATGTTGAGGCCGAGATACTGAGTGACGGTAGATGAAACTGTGAGCGTGAGATCTCGATGCAGCTCCCCTTCGAACCAGGTAGTGATGCCGTCAGTTGAGCCGATGTAAAGGAGATCGTCCACGTAGACGATTAGTAGGATGTAGTCATCGTTTTTTGTGAGCCGGTACATGCCTTCATCGTGCGGTAGTTGCTTGAAGCCGATGCGGATGAGGCGAGCGTGCAGGTACTGTTGCCACAGACGCGGAGCCTGCTTGATGCCGTAGAGTGACTTGAGTAGCTGGCAGACTTGGTTGGGTTCTCTGTGGGAGCCGTGCGGTAGCTCGACGAAAATTTCTGCATCAACAGGTGCGTAGAGAAACGCGTTCCTGACGTCAATTTGTCGCAGCTTCTTCTTCTTCATGGCGGCGATTGCGAGGAGAATGCGTAGTGAGGTGTGGCGGCTAACCGGAGCGAAAGTTTTGGTGAAGTCTCGTCCGTGTTCTTGGTCGAAGCCGCGTACAACCCAGCGAGCTTTAAATTTGTCAATGGTGCCGTCAGCCTTTGTCTTCACACGGAAGATCCACTTCCCGGTGAGTACTGTCTTGTTCCGTGCCACGCCGATAGGAACCACTTTCCACGTGTTGCGTTCCTCCAGTGCCTTCAGCTCCTTGTCCATGGCTTCGCGCCATTTTTCCTTATGCTCCCCCCCCAGAGCCTGTTGAACTGTCGCAGGCTCTTTAGGAATGGCGGTGCCGTGGACTGCGGTGACGAGTCTGAGAATTTGCAGTCCACTCTATGAGTAGCGGGGAAGATTTGCGTCCTCGGGATAAGCTGCTTCATCTCCCGCTTCTGGATCAGGTATGAAGTTCGGTCCTACTCGTTCTACTTCGTTGGTGTTGACTGTCGCAGGTGTTACGTAACCGTTGTCGGCGAAATAGTAGAAGGTTTCGGCGTTGACACTTTCGCGAGGGTTATCTTCGTCCATGGGAACGTCGACGGAGCAGAACGGAAGAGGTCCGGCTTCTTCTGATGCGTTGTCCACATTCTGCTCGTCCCAGTCAGCTTCGTCTGCTGCTGAGGCGAAGGCTCGGTCACCACGAAAACTACCTGTGGGATCCTGGTCTTCTTGCAGGTTGGCAAGGTATGTCTGGAGCGTGAGTCGTTCGTAGAAAATTACATCACGTGCTGCTACTGTTTCCTTGGAATGGACGTCGAAGATTTTCCACGCGTTGTAATTCTTTTCGATTCCCAGGTGTAGTCCCCACTGTGCTCGTTGAGAAAATCGGCCCGCTCGTGCTGCTGGCGGTCGGTCTGTATCTGTACCATGCATCCGAATACTCGTAACATTTTTGTGCTGCCATGTTTCCCTGTCCATAGCAGATGCGCTGATGCGTTGTTTGGAAGCGATGATGACGAGAGCAAGTTGTGCAGCATGACGGCATGGTCCATTGCCGCAGACCACTGGTGGTTGGGTAGCCGCATGCCACGTAACAGTTTGCGCATGCTGTTCTGCAAGGTCCTGTTCATTCTTTCTGCTACACCTTGCTGCTGATGGGCGTAGGGAAGGGAGATGAGCCGCTTGATTCCCCTTTCCGCCAGGTACTGCTTGAATCGCTGAGAGGTGTATTCTCCTCCTCCGTCTAACTGGAAGTTTTTCAGTTTCACGCCCGATTCTCTCTCAGCTACTGGTAGCCAGGCAACGAAGGCTTTGAATGCCATGTCGCGGCTAGGGAGGTTTAGGTGCCAGACGTAACGGGTGGCGGCGTCGATGAAGGTGATTGTATAGTTGTATATTACTTGTCCTGGTTCCCGATTGAACAGGCTGTCGCTATACACCTTCTCGAGTGGTGCGTACGCGGGTGCGCTCGGGTTGTGATGAGACGCAAACGGTCGATGTGGTAAGTCACCTTCAGGGCAGGTGAAGCACGTTCCACGTACTCATTGAAGCTCTCGTCCGTCGGTCAGTAGGAGTGAGTCCTTGTCGAGTACTCCTGCTCTTATCGTATTGTTTAATACTGTGTTGCTTGGGTGTCCCATCCTTGCGTGCCAGGTGCTTTCGTCGGCGCGATGTTCGGGTGATCGTCGGTACATATCGGAGTTGGAGTAGAAGTTGGCGGTGAAGTTGGCGCTACGATGAACTTCTCGTGGTGCTGGGTGTAGTTGTTGCGCGGGTGTCGGTGGTGTGTCGTCGATGAGGAGCGGTGTTGTTGAAGGACCAGCAATTGGTGTTGATGGTTCTGCTACTGCCGATGATGGTTCTGCTACTACCGATGTTGTCTCTACTGCTGCCGATGTTGTCTCTGCTGCTGTCGAGGTTGTCTCTGCTGCTGCCGATGTTGTCTATGCTGCTGCCGGTGTTGTCTCTGCTGCTGCTGCTGATGTTGTCTCTGCTGCTGCTGATGTTGTCTCTGCTGCTGCTGATGTTGTCTGAATTGTTGCTAACGCCCTTGTTCTTTCTGCTTCGGGGATGGTGTGTGAATACCAGAAGCCTTCTGGACTGAAGTCTGGATCAAGGTCTGGAGGGTGTGTCCAGTTGGTGAAGTTAACGATGGCGTCGCTGTCGGCGGTGCCGAGGTCAGGAACGAAGTCAAGAACGAAGACGTTGTTCTTGAGGACCGCCTTGCCGATGTAGAGTCCTCCTCTCTCGTGATACAGCTTGAATTCTTGGGTGGTGCTGTTTGCTTCGAGGTGAATCCCTTTCGCCATTAGCTGACTGACGCTCAGTAAGTTGTAGCCGAGTCCCTCCGCGATTAGTACCTTTGACATCTGCAGTATAACGTTTGTTTCCCTTGACTGACGTTGAACTACGCCTAGTCGTCGTGTTCGCAGGTTCTGATTGTTGGCGACTGTAATGACAACTTCGCGTTGAAGTTGGTGTTCTCGTTGAACGAAGCGTCCCGAGGAGCACATGTGCTGTCCGCAGCAACTGTCCAAGAACCATGTGTCCCTTCCGGATGGTTCGCTTTGGGCGATGGCGGCGTATGTCGGGTTCGGCTGAAGTGACTCGCGGTGGGGTGTGGTTTCGTTGAGTTGTTCTTCCGGTGAGTACTGTGGTGGTGTCTCGGTGGTGCAAGAGTCACCGAGCTTTGCCATGCAGCTGACGATGTTTCTTGCTCCTTGTGCAGTTGTCCTGTTCAGGTCGTTGAGGCATGAATCTGAGTCGTGGGATTTGCTTGCGTTGAGGCGATTTGGCTACTTGAAGGTCGAAGTTGCCGCTGTGGAGTTGTTGACTGTTGACGATTCGGGCAGTGCGTGCGCGGGTGTCCTCAAGTTTTGCAGATGTGGCAGAACGGAGGTACTGGCTTCGGTTGTTGCTGCCAGTTGTTGTTGTTGTTGTAGCGTCGCTGAGTGTGGAACGCGAATTCCGATGCTGATGTCTTCTTTTTGTGTCGTTCTTCTTGCAGGTCCATGTCTTGCTGCTCGGCGTGGATTTCGGCGCAGAGCGCTGCTTCGGAGATTCTTCCGTGAGCTCGGAGAATGGCCTTTGTGGCGCGCCATTGAGGACCGAGGCCGCCGATGATGACTATCACGAAGGCGTCTTCAGAAATCGACCCTCCGCATCGAAGAAGCTTGTCGCGCAACTCGCGACATCGACTGATATACGCCATTCCTT